GGACGCCACCGGCCAGCCCACCGGCCTGAGTGCCCAGCGCCCCCGTCCCTCACCACCACCACCATGCCTATGAAGGTGCAAGGCAGCTCTGCAGAGGCTGGCCCGACTGGTAAGGTACCAGAGGGCAGGAGGCCCTGCCAGAGCGGGGCTTGCAAGAATCGAGGTCTTTCCACTCAGAAATCGCCCAGGCTGGCTCTGCCTGTGTGGGTTTGCAGCTGCCCGGCAGCGCTGCGCGAGCCCGGCAGAGCAGTCCTGGCTGGCTGCCCGGCACCCAAAAGCCACGGCCGTACTCGCAGCGTGTGTGACAGCGAGCGTGGCACAGTGGGGTGGGTTTGCCAGCACGCCTTGTGCAGCACACGTGTCCCTGTGCAGGGAATCCCAGGCGGAACATGGGGCACAGCTGAAGCATGCGGGCTGTGCCACGGGCACACCAAGGCACAGGCTGCACCGACAGCACACAGGGACAGCAGGGGGACAACAGGCAGAGGAAGTGAGGGCGAGCGGCTGGCATGACGTGAGGCAGGAATAGCGCAGGGCTTTGGAGAACGGGAGAGACCGTCCCAGCCTGGGGCTGTGCGGGAGCCCTGGGAGCGGGGAGGACAGGGCTGCCCAGAAAGGCGAGATAAGCACCCTGCATGGGAGGAGCCCTGACTCAGAGTCATCGTGCAGGAAGAACAGGAAAAACCAACAGAGCCTGATCCTGGAGGTGGGCTGGAAGACCGATCATCACAGGAGGGCTGGGACAACAACCAGGGCTGGCAGAGCAAGGGAGACCTGGGGGAAGGGGCAGGAGCTCAGCCAGCGCTCCCCTGGCAAACTCCTCTCACCTGGCTGACCCCTCGGAAGAAAGCCTCCTCCGCCAGCCGGGCCGGGCCGTCCACCGTCTTGCCGTCGTCCTCAGGGCCCCAGCTGGCACTGTAGATGTGGATGTGGTTGGGATTGAGGCCCAGGGAATGGGCCTCCACAGCATCAGTCACCTCCCCATCCAGCATGCGCACGCCTAGGGCCAGAGAGCAGACGTCACGGGCGATCGGATGGGGCAGGGCGGCCGTGCGCCACACGGCAGCAGTGCCGCTGGCGAAAGCCCTCCATCTGCTGCTGCCCCGTGCCACGGGCCATCACAGGGCTACCCTGGCCAGCAGCACCGAGATCCCTGGCACAGCCCACTCCTCTGGCTGTGAGGCCCCTGCGGAGCCCAGCACAGGCTTTGCTCTCAGCGCAGGGCAGGGTGGCACCCACCTCCAATCCTGGCGTTGTAAGCCACGCCGACACCGCAGATCCCGTTGTTGGCCACAGCAGCAACCTCCCCAGCGCAGCGCGTGCCGTGTCTGCAGTTGGAACAGGAGCAAGCGTGCTCAGATAGGGCGCGAGGAGCACGGGCCTGGGCACCAGCCGGAGCTGGAGGGACCAGGACCCAGGCTGCCTCCCATCCCTCCCAACCTGGGTGGCCAACAAAGGCCCCACAGGCTCCTCCATCTACCCTCCTGCTCTGGAGCAGGGGGGACTGAGCAGCCTGCGCTGGCACTGGGCAGCACCAAAGGATGCTGCCCGCATCAGAAAGGGAAGCGGGGGGCTCCTCCGTGGGGCGAAAGCACGCCGTCTCCCCTGCACCCTCCTGCGGTCCTGC